AGAACAGTTTCTCTGTATTCTTAGAAATGTACAAGCCAGCAGCATATTGCTTGATGTCAATTTTGAAGTGCGGTTAGGAAGCCTAAGCCAGCTTTAGTATTCCTACTGGTATATACAATTTTTCTTTGTCTGTGTACCCAACTCCCCAAATATGAAAGTATTTTGGAATGAAAAGTTCTTTGTAGAGTTCCATGTTAAAAATGGAGAGAAATCCAGGATATTTTTAGTAAATAATTCTAAAAACTTGATCGTTTGTAATACAGACGATTTCCTTTTATAACTATTTGCAACTCTATCTTTGCATGATACAGACAAAAGCAATACATTTTTTCTTATTTCTTCAAGTATCAATGTCTCATTTACCTTTAGTTTACGATTTCTAACATTCTAAATTCTATATTGGGTTTTTTTCATCCTTTTATTTCAATGTTTCTTATTAACTTAAGATAGCTCTGTTCTTGCTGAAGTCTTCTAGGTTACTTGACTGGTTGCTTCTTTTAGCTCATCTCTAGACGACCGACTTTTAGGAATTTACTTCCATTCCATACTTTATCTTGGAATGTTATTATCTATGTAACTATGTTCGAATTTGCAAGGTACTGGTAATAAGACGATGTTTATTGCTTTGGGAAGGTTTTGCTTGAGCTGGTAACAGGCAAACTGGGAATAAGTGCATCCGGTGATGCCAATCTCGAATGGTTGCAAAGCACACTGCTTCAGAACAATATATATGATAAAGAACCGGTAATAAACATTGTGGATCCATCACTAATCATAGATGAGGATCTGTTGGAGGAAGTATGGGCGGTGGCTATTGTTGTTCAATCTTGCCTCAATCAGAACCTTTCAAGGCGGCCAGTTATTCAATATGTACTTAAAAGATCTGGAAAATCCTTTAAAGGTGATAAGGGGGTGAAGGACCGGAAGAAATGCTGAGTTCCAGGATGGGAATTTGCTCTATTAACGGCCAAATCTGCAGCTTCAATGAGGAAAAGGGATCGAGGAACTAGTTTTATTGGGTTTACAAAATCTCTCAATTACCTTGGTTGTCAGTAATTAGTGAATTAGGAAGGATTCGTTCGTACTGAATGACAAGTTGCGCGTCAATCTTCATCATTTTTCTATCCTTTGTTGATTATAAATTTTGCATATCCAGCAGGCATAAATTAAACATGAACCAACATGATTTGAATGGCTAGAACACGGATGAGGAAAAAATGATTTTTGTATATTATATTTCACACCTTTGGTAATTACATTCAGTCAGCATTTATAATGCCAGAAAAAGGAAAGAATAACAAACACTAAAACA